CTTTCACCAAGCCACCCATGCCTGGGGCTTGGTTTGGCCCACTTGGTTCCCGATCTTGGAAGGCAACAGCCGACGAAGGGTGGCCCTGAGTGCCTTCATGTGGCTCGACTAAGCTTCCCGCCCTGACTGACGTGAGGAATACCCAGAACCTAACATGTGGACAAAGTCATAGAGCACTAGGTCTTGATTGGGCATTGTTCCCTCACCCTTGTGAGGTCGTGTCGCTCACTTCTGGCCCAAGGTCACGCTCGGGGTGTGATGCATTGTGACAAGTATGAGCGTGCGGCCATCGCCTGAGGGCTCCTAGACTCGCAAGTTAGTCTCCCTCTACATGTGGCCATGCCCTTAGCGTGCGATGGATGCTACGAGGAGGACAAATCTTGGCATGGCACAATGGCAAGTTTGACTTATGAATGTTAGTTCCAAGCACCAGCATAGGATGTTAGGGATGGTTTAGCGATGCCGGCCACGACATTGACGTGGGACGGCACCTGACACCTCCACCAACCGAAGACTACTACACAAAATCCTAGACCCCTCCCCCGAGAACCATGATTCTTGTAGTGCCCTCTGTTATATAAGGCTAGGCATGGTTTCCTATAGTAGGGATTAAATCCAAACCGAGCGATCAAACCCTAAATCATTAGCATAGCGTTCTTGTACCATCTCTCTCTCTCTCTCTTAAGAACTTGATTAAGCACTCTAACATGAAAAACACCACTCCTAGACGTAGGGCTTAGAGGCCCGAACCAGAATAAACCCCTTGTGTCTTGAGTGCTTAAGCCACCGAAATCACACACATCGACCCATGTTTGAATCACTAATCACTGTCGTGAAATTGAACCCACGACAACATCCTTTGCGAGGGGGACCCCTGAGGACTAGGGGAGCACGAGCTTCTTGATACGTTAGTAAAAACACCGGAGTCATCGACGAGAGTTTGCATCTCTATCTCAATGAAGCTTCCGCATTTAATTTGTGTACCTAGGTTGTGTGATTAAATCTTTAGTTTAGTGTCGACAGAATATGCTCGGCAGTCCACCGAGGGGTATCCCGCGATGGTAGATTTGTTGGTGGGGATGCGCGTAATCAAGAACCAGATGGTGACACAAGGCGCAGAGACAGCGATTTAGATAGGTTCGGGCCGTCTAATCGACGTAATACCCTACGTCCTGTGTCTTTGGTGTATTGTATTGATCTGTATGTAGATCCGATTTGATAGATCCTGATGGATCCTGTCCGCTAGGGGACCCCTACCTCTCCTTATATACTCTGGAGGAGGTAGGGTTACAAGTAAAGTAGCCTATTTGGTACTATACAATGTCTTGCGGTGCATGCCGAGCAGCGCCGTGCACGTCTTAACCTTGTGGGCCGGGCCACCCCTGGGGGCGCAGCCCATGTCTTGGGGGCCATCCCCCCACATTTAGCTTGCTAGGTTAGTTGATAGGAATTAGGATTGGAACATAGATTGCATAACCCTTTTGTGGTATAGATAGCAACACACTTAGCAGAACCTTAGTTTTACATCTAGATAGATTACTTTATTACACATGTTTTGATAAGTGGAAATTAGAGGCCATAATTTAGAGTAGATTTTTTTAAAAGCCTAATTTACCCCTCCCCCTATTAGGTATCACAATCCCTTTACCCGGTAAAAGGAGTTGCCGTGGATCAAAAGTTTACAAATTGTGGAATAAGTTGTTTAATTTCTTAATGTGGAATAGGTATTTGTATTTTTGACTAGTTATTTTCTTGGTAATGGGAGACACCCATTAACATCGATCTGCCTATAGATTCTAAACTTGGATTATTCGGAATTGCTTTGGTCAAATTTTGGGCTTCCAATCGATGCTATGTTACCTAGTTCTATTTGTGTCTAGGGGACAATAACAAAATGAGACAATTCTTTCCCTTTTTTATCATAGAGGAGTCGTATGAACTATGAAGCTAAAGTTTCATGTACGGTTTTGGAATAGGGGTGGGACATGATCTATTATTACTTTTTTTCTAATCAAATTTAAATATTTGTGTAAACTATCGAATTTTAGTTGTAGCTATGGTTATATGTTGATAATACGACATCCATGTATCTATAGGGCTTATACGACAAATAAAAATTAATGTGTTTGGTGAGCTTTCATTGCAAATGATCTCAAACTCATGTCATATCTCAAATTGAAGAAGGAGCAAGCAAAATGAAAAGACAAAAGAGACAAGGTTACAATGGCTATTGTTTGGTCTCAATGTTGGCTCGCTTGCATAAACATGAAGAGATTAGTATTAAACTAGGCCATGTTTTGGTGGCGCTTCAAGCAGCTCCAGCCCCTCCACCTTACCGTTTATGCCACTGTTCATAGAACCTCTTTTCCTCTCTCCGAAGCGAACGAACTAGGAAAAAAAATGGAACCACCAACTAGAACTCCTCGTGACAGTGTAGTAAGGAGCTGAAGCCGTTTGAAGCGCCACTAACAAGGCCTCATTGCGCACTTTAGTTGTCATAAATTAAACTTATCTAACTTTTATCAAATGTATAGATCAAATTAGCTTTATTAGATTCTCCACGAAATGTTTCTTACCCATGCATTTATTTAAACTATAGAGGTCTGTTTGAGTATTAATATATATTTTTCTAAAAGCTTGATTGAACTCAAAAAACTTAACTTAGGATAGAGCTCATGCCTCACTTTGCGCTAATAAACCTCACTACCTGCAAAGTTCAAACCAGAATGAGTGCTTAGTTGTTACACCATGTATCTTGTAGGTCTGTTTGGTTCAACTGTAGACAAAGTTGCCTGGATGGTCGCGCTCTCCCATGCGTTTGATTTTAAGCACTTAGGGTGAGTATGGAGGCCTGGAGCTTTTTCATGTCTGGGAGGCCACTGAGGGCACCCCCAATGCGCAAACTAGCACGGTTTCTTTCTCTATTAATTATCTTGCTAAGTAGACATTGTACTATGTGACAAATAATTTAGTGAAGAGAGAGAGTAAAAGTCGAAGAAACAATTTCTATACAAGAAACTCTGTCGATGGTAGAATAAACTACAGACGCTGTATTGGGACTGGCTGCTTGTTTCTTCCTGTAGTTGAATGGGGAGAGTGGATTGGATGAGACTGGGAGTAAGAAAGGGCCTCGTAAAAAAAATTCCGTATTGTGAGATGTGGTTTTTATAGGTAGTTTCTCAGGCTATGAAAACTATCACGTAGTTTCTACAATGAGACTATCCTAACACCCCGTACATAGAGGCAGAGGATTATATTAAATACATATACATGACTATTGGTAATAAACTGGGAATAAAGATAAACAAAATAGAGAAGCGCCGTACAGCACTCAATGGCCATGAATAAACAAAAATCATATTTTCGCCATTAATTATACTTCTCCATCACAAAATAAATAACTTTGTGAAAAATTTCGGATAGATTAAGGACGCTGGCAAAAAAAAAAAGATTAAGGATTTGGCAATTATTGTTTACATGCACCCGTGATTAGCTCAAGTGTTAGAAGACGATGTCTCATGTTTTTATAGAATATTTGTCCTGTTCGTTTCACTTATCAGTATGGCTTATCAACCATGGTATAATGTTTTTCGCAGAAATAATCTGCCGAACAGTTAGGAAGTTATTTATTTTCGTAATAAAAAAAGTTAATGTTATAACCTCACGGACGCAGCAAAAGAAAAGTTCCGGGCGCTAATGCAGAACCCACCTGCCAGTGGCTAAGTATGAGTTCCACGGGAATCTAATAACCAAAGTTCTTTTCCCACGCAAAATGGGGAAAACAAAAGGAAAACAAAAATGGAGAGGGAATATAGGGGGAATTCCTTACGTGCCATTAAAAAAGATCGCGATGCTCTACGTGCCTCTGAAAAAGTTCAGCGATCTTCAACGCCACTGCTACAACTTTTTTATGCCATCCATGTCACTGCCATCAGTCTGGACTCTAACGTCGTCAAACTGTAGGTGTGAAAAGTCGAAAATACCCTCAAGTCTAAACATGTCATTAATTTTTTTGAGCATCTTAACGACTTCAAATGAAAAAACTCAAAACTAGAAAGTTGTAGATCTCGTCAATATCTATAATTTTTATATAAAAATTATTTTCATTTAATTCCATAAAAAATTATGATTTGATATGATTAATATATCTTAGAAAAATCATATCTTTTTTTGCGGAATTAAATTAAATAAAGTTAATTTTTATATGAAAATTATAGATCTCGACGAGATCTACAACTTTCTAGTTTTGAGTTTTTAATTTAAAGTCGTTAAGATGCTCAAAAAAATTAATGACATATTTAAACTTAAGGGTGTTTTTGACTTTTCACACCTGCAGTTTGACGGCATTAGAGCCTAGATTGACGGCAGTGGCATAGGGGATATAAAAAAGTTAAAACAGTAACGCTGAAGACCACTGAACTTTTTTAAGAGACACAGAGCACCGCGATGTTTTTTAACGGCACCAGAGGAATTCCCCCCAATATTACATAGGATAGGCTGAGCGCAGGCGAGCACGAGGAGATAAATGGCCCAGAGGAAAAGGCGAGAGCAAATCCAAACCAACCAATCCCAATATCCGCAGGCCTCCCCCTCCACTGGACCACACCCTCGCCTCTCCCACAACCCAGACTCGCAAAGCCCCTCTGCCAATCTCTGCAACATCATCGATTCCCCAGGCGAAAAAATTACTCTGGACTTTTTTTTCCAATCAGATCAGAGGAGTAGGGTAGATTGGATTGGTCAGATTATTCAATCTCCACTGCAGTCTCTCTGAAGAGAAGAGGCCAATCCAGCCCAGCCTTTCCACAGTTCGGAGAAATCATCCCTCAGTGCGTGAAGCAGCTTTGATTCGCCTGCGCAACTCATAGAAGAGAGCCAGGAGCTTGTTCTTGGCTGCTTGACCGATTCTTGAGCTGCTGCGGATCTCGCCAGAGGGCCAAGAGCTTGTTCTTGTGTCGGGGAATTCTTGGTCAACCGTGCCGGATAAGGGTGAGGGTGCCATGTCAGCATCGCAGTCCTCGATGAGCGGCGCCGGGGAGCCGGGGATGCGGACGGTGGTCTGGTTCAGGCGAGACCTGCGTGTGGAGGACAACCCGGCGCTGGCGGCAGCCGCTCGGACGGCCGGGGAGGTCGTGCCGGCGTACGTGTGGGCGCCCGAGGAGGACGGGCCGTACTACCCCGGCAGGGTGTCCCGGTGGTGGCTCAGCCAAAGCCTCAAGCACCTGGACGCCTCGCTACGCCGGCTCGGCGCCGGCCGCCTCGTCACCCGCCGCTCCAACGACGCTGTCGTCGCGCTGCTCGACCTCGTCCGCAGCACCGGCGCCACGCACCTCTTTTTCAACCACCTCTACGGTTCGATCCCTCTCACTCTAGACTGGATATTGTTACGCCTTGCTACATGTTGCAGCTGTTCTTGGTTTCTTGCTGCCACAGAGTATATGCAAATCTTCAGCTTGACTTCGTGTCCAAAATCGATTTTTATCCTGGTTTTCTAGCCTTGCTCCGTCTGGTTGAAGGGGATCCAGTCCTTCACGATCCAAATAGTAAAGCAGAGGATATATGTTTTCTTTTTAGAGAGAAAGAGGATCTTTTCATGAACAGTTTTGCTTGTATATATCTGCCATTAATGGATGTTTCATACCTTAATACCCTTACTCCACACGTAAACCAACTCCAAGTTTAGCAATTAGCATCCTGCCTTACTAACTTTGGTCGCCGTCGCCCTCTTTAATTCCAAAAAGTCCTTGCGCCCAGCAACTGGTACTCACCAAACAACCTGCATCTTTCTTCTTCGGTTGAGTTTTCTCCCAAGAACCATCATAAAAAAAAAACTTTTAGCACCTTATCAACTGGGCTGGCTAACACGAACGGTCTTCCGTTGCTCACCGATTGCTGTCTCGTGCCCGCCGTGCAGACCCGCTGTCGCTGGTCCGGGACCACCGCGTGAAGGAGCAGCTGACGGCCGAGGGCATCTCTGTGCAGTCCTTCAACGCTGATGTGCTGTACGAGCCGTGGGAGGTCCTCGACGACGACGGCTGCCCCTTCACCATGTTCGCTCCATTCTGGAACAGGTGCCTGTGCATGCCGGACCCCGCCGCACCACTTCTGCCGCCCAAGAGGATCAATTCAGGTATCCAAACGCATAACCTACAGAGTTCTGATGCTCATACTCATACTCATACTGTAGGGGACCCAGTCCTTGCAGCAGATCAATCACTGACGTGAAAAATGCTTCGTTTGTTGAGCTCCACAGGTGACTTGTCGAGGTGTCCGTGGGACGAGCTGATCTTTGAAGACGAGTCCGAGAGGGGCAGCAACGCGCTGCTTGCGCGGGCGTGGTCACCAGGGTGGCAGAATGCTGACAAGGCACTGACGGCCTTCCTCAACGGTCCGCTGATGGACTACTCCGTGAACCGCAAGAAGGCCGACAGTGCCAGCACGTCCCTGCTGTCTCCGTACCTGCACTTCGGCGAGCTCAGCGTCCGCAAGGTCTTCCACCAGGTCCGGATGAAGCAGCTGATGTGGAGCAACGACGGCAACCACGCTGGCGAGGAGAGCTGCACCCTATTCCTCCGCTCCATCGGCCTGCGGGAGTACTCGAGGTACCTCACCTTCAACCACCCCTGCAGCCACGAGAAGCCCCTTCTGTCGCACCTCAGGTTCTTCCCCTGGGTCGTCAATGAGGTGTACTTCAAGGTTTGGAGACAAGGGAGGACTGGCTACCCTCTTGTCGACGCTGGCATGAGGGAGCTCTGGGCCACCGGGTGGGTCCATGACCGGATACGTGTCGTCGTCTCTAGCTTCTTTGTCAAGGTACTCCAGCTGCCATGGCGCTGGGGGATGAAGTACTTCTGGGACACCTTGCTGGATGCTGACCTTGAGAGTGACGCACTAGGCTGGCAGTACATTTCTGGGTCTCTCCCTGATGGCCGTGAGCTTGACCGCATTGACAACCCTCAGGTACTTTAGGCCTTTCCTCTATTCAATCTTTTCATGGGTAATAAAGTAGCACCTTGATGAATTATATTATATCAACTGAATTTTGCAATGTGTTCAGTTTGAAGGGTACAAGTTTGATCCGCACGGGGAGTACGTACGGCGATGGCTACCGGAGTTGGCGAGGCTGCCAACGGAATGGATACACCACCCCTGGGATGCACCTGAGTCTGTGCTTCAGGCTGCAGGAGTTGAGCTAGGCTCCAACTACCCACGCCCCATTGTTGAGTTAGATGCTGCCAATTCCAGGTTGCAGGATGCCCTGTCAGAGATGTGGGAGCTTGAGGCAGCCTCTCGTGCTGCGATGGAGAATGGAATGGAAGAAGGCCTCGGTGATTCCACAGATGAGCCGCCGATCGACTTCCCTCAAGAATTACGGATGGAAGTGGACAGACAACCGGTTCAACCTGCTATCCACACACCGGCAGTGGCTGGTCGGAGACGAGAAGATCAGATGGTGCCTAGCGTGACTTCCTCATTCATTAGAGCTGAAACCGAACTTACTGCAGATTTTGGCAACACCAGCGAGGACAGTAGGCCAGAAGTGCCGTCAAACATTCATTTGCAGGCTCGGGTGGAGAGGGAAGAAACAGTTGACGGTGGCACTGGCAATACTGTCAGGATGAATGGCAACCATCAGCAGCAGAATCTTCAGAACAACATGCACCGTGTGCTAGGTATTGCTCCATCAGTTTCAGAGGCATCGAGCAGCTGGACGGGCAGGGAAGGTGGAGTGGTACCGGTCTGGTCACCTCCGGCAGCTTCAGTACATTCTGATCCTTATGCTGCCGATGAGGCTGACATTTCCAGTAGGAGTTATTTGGACAGGCATCCAAAAAAAAAACTCGACCGGGGGGGTTAAGACTGCCCCCGCAGCATTTCAAATAAGAAGAAGGACCTTCACACCCGGCCGAGAAAACCTCCGAACTCCCGCCCCCACCCTTCCACGGTGGCTTTCCGTCGCTGAAGTGAGAATTGGGCGGTGGTGCCCCAGTGCTTTGGTTATGGGGACGGACGAGGGGATTTTTTTAACCTCAGCCTGAAATTCGCTCCCACGGGGAGTCGAACCCAGGACTTGAGGAGTGCCGCTGGGTCACCTAACCGTTTGAGCTAGGCGCCCTTTGGCTTGGACAGGCATCCACAATCACATACGATGATGAACTGGAGTCAACTCTCTCAGTCATTGTGAGTTCAGTTGCACGGTAACTTATTTTTACAGGAAAAAATGCATTGTCATAAATTGAAAAATTGCAGCTTATAGCAAAAAGTAGACAGTAGTTGTCTAAAGTCATTGTTAATGTGGCAGTTAAAATTAACTGACAACTTGAATTTGATGTGTAGTAGCTGAGTTGAACATTCTAAATGCCTACTAATGATCCTTTTTTTATGAATCTCTTAATGCAGGACAACAGGGTGGGAAGTGGATAATTAGTGTTGTGTGTCCGGATTTAATTGGTTAGGAGTTCAGCAGAGAGAATTATATTATATACATATGTAAATTATCCCATTTTGTCCGTCTATAGTCTTGGTGTGCATGCAAGTCATCAATCATGCAGCTTCCTGGATGCAATAATGGTTATGTGAAGCTAGTTGTATAGAACCTTGTAGTATAGGTTGCTAGGTGTCCACGAGATATGTATTATTCGTCAGATAAGAGTATTCTAGCAGCAGTTTCATTTTGTATCTGGTTATTGTCTTATTGCAGTTTTTGGTGATGTGATAGTCAACATAGAGGGGTGTTCTCAGTTTGGTAGACATAGAACTTACCTGCTATCTGTGAGGACTCAAAGGGAACATCTTGGCAGTGAGATTGTGTGCCACTCTTGCCTGCTGCTACTTTGCCTCAATAAAGAAGTTACCTGAATCTTTTTCACAATGCACCGTGGTGAATTAATCAGGTGATATGAAAGACAATGGAAGTTTAAGATGACAAACGATGAGATTTACTAGAGATAACATAAATGATTTACAAGGATTGCACATCTTATGATAAGTAGAAAAACTACCAGATATGCTACCGGAGACAACATAGATAATTAAGCAATCGCATGGCAACCCCTCCACTCTACCATAAGCTGGGACAACGAGCACATCATGCACATGATGCTTTGCCCTGGCCGAGTGGGAACCGTAGCAATCACAATTGACAAGCAAAACCATCTGAATTAGACGAGTCATTGCAGGATAAAACCAACAACTAACATAGTGCAGGAACTGCTCATAGAGCAGGCGGTAAAAGCCCCAAGGGTGGGAGCTGACCGGCCAGGGTTCAATCCCTGACTCCTACAATGGCCTCCAAAGAAGGCCGGGTCAAGTGACCCTTTTCAAAAAAAAAAAAAAACCTAACATAGTGCAGATTCTCAGTGAGAAGGATTGATCACACAATAATTGGTTTTTAGTTTCTGTCACCATAAAAATATATATTCAAAAGTCACAAGTCACATAGTCTAAATAACAATCCATGGAAGATACAATAGGTTCATCATGCTGTGCAAATATAGACAGCTGCACATATAAATTTACTATCATTAAGCCGGGGGAGTTGGCCGCCGACCAGGGTGGCCACGTCGCCCGAAACTCTCCTGGCCGTCCGATTCTCTGATCGATGGCCCGTGTTGGCTCCACCGCCCGCGACGAGGCCCTCGCCGGCTCTCCCTGAACCCGACGCCCTCCTCCTCTCCTCTCCTCTCTCTCTCTCTCTCTCTCTCTCTCCCTCCCTCCCTCCCTCGCTACTGGCTCGCGACGCGCCTCAGGCGACGGCGCGGGACGGCCTCAGCGGTGGCCCGCCCTCCGCGCGGCGGCGGCCTCCCTCCTCCTTCTCCTCCTCCTCCTCCTCCACCACCCCCACCACCACGCCACTTCCTCCTTGCGACGCAACGCGGCGGGTCGCGCGGCCTAGGGTTTCGCCCCTCCGTCGCCGGTTGTCCCCACGCCCGCGCGGCCAGCCAGCGGAGGCCCTGATGCGCCGGAGGCCTCTGGCGGCGGAGAAACCTCCGTGCTGGCCGTGCATGACGACGGGGAGGTCACGTCAGCAACCTCGGCGGTGGATCTGGAGCGGCCGCTCGCGGGGCCCCTACCGGCGGCCGATCTGAGGCTGGAGCACGCCGTCGACCTCGCGCAGCCAACGGAGGCGGTGGATCTGCGGCGAGCAGCCGGATCCAGCGCGAGCCCTCCTCGTCTCCACCGCCCGCCTGCTGCGACCGGTCCGCGGCGGCGGCGCCCATCCTCCTCCTCCTCCTCTGCCCTCCCTCCCCTTACTCTCCCTCTCTCCCCTTCCCTCCCGAGGCGGCGGTGAGCGCGAGGGAACGGCGCCCCCCGCGCCCGCCGCGCCGGCGTGGGTGGGGCCTGGTCGCGTCCTTCCTCTCCCCCATCCTCCGCACGGCCTCCTCAATGCCTCCTCCAGTCGGGGAGCGTGAGCTCCTTTGCTCGGCGAAACCCTAGGTACGGCTCAAACCCTAAACTGCAGCGTGCGCTCTCTCCCCTCCTCCCTCCCCTTCCCTAAACTCCCTCTCCTCTATGTGACTCTCAGCGTAAGCTACTGGAACTGCAATTCAAATTTTCTTGTATAGCAAATGAGACCTCATATTTATTTGCGCGACTTTTTTTTCCCCTCAAGTCCTACAAGAAAACCACATCATACCCACCAAAGTTGTACAAAGCATGAACCTTCTTGTCAAACATAAAAAGAAAAGAGCGATCTATGTACGTGTCAGAATCGAACAATAATTCGATTAGTTCACTGATATGCATATTCTTTGTTTGTGCCTTTCAGGTCATATAAATAATCAGTACAATACCTGCTTCTGGATGTTGGTGAAGTCTGGAAAAAGTGAACAAGAGCTTCAGATAGCTTTGAAGGTAGTACAAATTTTCTTGAGTTGGTGACCTTTCTATCACAATGGTATAAATGTTTTAATTCAAGTTTTGTTTTTCTAGGGAACATTTGCAAAGGACAAGAATGAGCTGCTTGCTCAACAATTCCAAATAAACTATGACGATGAACCGGCTATGTTCCGCAAAGGATGTAGTGTTTACCGAGAGAAGGTGATGCTGCAAATGTTATCAGTCATGCAAGACAACGTCTTTTTTATAATGTATTGCGTATAACTGTAGGTAGAAACAGCTGTGAAGATTGATGACTACGGGGAACCCATAAAAAGACTAAGATTGCAAGTTACAACTGCGCATGTTGATATCATAGGGCCTGAGTTTTGGAAAAACCATCAGCAGATTCTTCGAGAAGGTCGGTTTGAATTATTCAGCTGTCCTTTCTACTACAGATCAAGCTATGTGTGTGTATAGCATTAACTTAATTGATTATTTGGGAACAGGAAATTTTTTGCGTTGGTTTGTAAAGAAATCTGGCATCAATCACATCTTTTGTCCTTGTAATTGGATCGTTGTTCGCATCAAGGCTTGCCAATTTGATCAGTAAGGATCCTTCTTTTTATTTATCAGAAGCATGCCGGTTCTCTTTAGGATTAGCTTGATTGCCTTATTAACTGGGTAAGGTAAATGGCATTTCCTCACTTCTTTCAATTTCTAGTCTCTATGTGACTCTAGACAAAAAAAACATAAATACTCATGGTTGATGGTCGGTGTGAAAACTGAAGCTTTAGAATATTTCTCATGCAGTGTGAAGACCTGAAATAGTTTATTACATTGCCTTCTCTGTATTTGCTAGGAAATGTGATCTACCGCATCAAGCATTTCATGTTTAGAATTCTGAATAGTTTTAACGTATTAAATATAAAAAGAGCTCCAATCTTTAAGTTTTTGTGCATGGCGTATCTACATTAGACTCCTAATATTGTTTCCGTGCAAATATTAAACATATTTTTTACCTGCGCCTTAACCGGTGATTTGCCGGCGCGCGTGATGGACTAGTACTTCATTAATATGAAACCTCCTTCAAGAAGTTACATGCAAGCATGTCAACTGCCTGCTGAAACTGATTCCAGGCTAGTGTCCTACTAATTTAATTCTATATATAGCTTCACGAACAGGCAACTCTTCAAGAGTCACATCTGGCCCACTTGACGGTGCAAATTCCAGCCTTGTGGACAAGATGAGGTTAGCATTACATCCTGCTGATGATATTTCCCATCTCTGACAATTATGCACATCAGTCTTTCTTCTTCCTATCAACATATGGATACTTCTGGTAGATGAATATGCTTGTTGCGACAAGTGGTAATGCCATCAGGCAGTAGAGTGATGGTGGCTTCCCATCAAACACAAATTGTAGCAGTGCAGTTACAAGGAGAGCTGAGACTATAACAAAACCCTGAAAAAGAGTCCAGTTCCCAGATGTCAATGAAAGGCATGGCTGTTTTTCATTTAATGTCAGTTTAGGCACTTGCCTTTCTAACGCCACCTGCGTAAGTTGTGACAAGACCAACAAGAATTCCACCCACGGCATTCATTAATACAGGTACCTGAGGTAAAGAATGGTGGATTAGAGACCCACATATCAATGAAGATCTTACAGCTTTTGCTTCCATCTGTGTCGGATGTTACAGATGTACTTTTCAGTCAATGCAGGACATATCAGTGCCTTCAAAAGACTGGCATTAAAATTTGAAGCATAAAGGGAGGCAATACCTATTTCAATAATTTGGTCCTTGAGAAAAAGTTAACTTGCACTAAAGACAGTGAAGCAATATCCTAGTTAGATCCTCGAAGATCAATATTTACCTACTTGGCTATTTTAGACCAGTCAAGCAACAGATGCAAACATCCATATGGAAAAGCCTAATTATCAAGGCAAATGGCAAGGGTGCAATGCCAGGATATTATCCTGTCTTAACCATGAACCGTCCATAAAAAAATTGGAATGCCTAGATTAACCGCTAGCCTGCTAGACTGATATGCTACCTTAACAACTCATTAATGTTCTAGGTTCTACATTAACAAAAAAAATGAAAATTGACAATTTATCTTATATAGAGTTAATTACACAAAGCAGAATATTGGAATTGCGTACTGGAAATATTGTAACCAAGGTGTCCGGTGTTTTTCTACATTTCAGTAATAGCATGTCATTGCAAATAGAAGTAGTTTGTTACAAAGAACACTCGTCTTTTAGGTTACATTCCCGCCTGTTATATACATACATATATGAAAACACGACCGGCCAAAGGAACTACCCTACAATAACAGAAAGGTAATAAGACCCTTTGCCCCCGAGAGGATCCATTGATGGACCTCAGTCCCTACCGTTTGCAGCAAGCACTCCATGGAAGGTGACTGGTTCTGAAGACAATCATTCCTGTGGTTACAAATTGTCCATGCACCCAGGATGACCAGCGAGTTGAAGCTCATGTGTTTCTCCTTGCATACAAGGAGCTCTGATCAACGCCACAACTCTACAAAGTTGTCCATCAGCGCAGCTGGCTGGTCTGGGAGGCTGAAGCAGCTAAAGATGCAATGCCAGGCCTCAAGGGCGAACACACAGGTCATAAGTGCAGCTCGATGGGTGTGGCATTCCTCTTCTGGTCTACCTGTCTCTGTCTGCAGTCAAGCACCGGTCTAAGATGGCTAGCAAGAGGAAGAGCTTACAGCGCGCAGGTGCCCAAGATTTCCACAGCCTTTTGGCATGTTCAAAGAATGAGGAGCCGTGGAAGAATGCCCAATATGTAGAGCTCGCAGAATACTCACCAGAGAGGCTGTGGCACCAATAGTGAACAATGAGAGGTCTGGCTGGAGGACCACCTCCACCAGGTCCCAGACATGTAGGTACTCTGCCAGGACAGAGGTTGAGTGCCCCTCTTATGTCCCTCACCCATCTGCGGTCAGGGAGGGCCTCATACACCGTGTGGCATGCTGAGATATGTATAGAAACCACAGCGAACAGGTTCAGCGCCAAATCAGTTAAGCGGTGGCCGTGCAACCATCTGTCTCTCCGAAACAGTGCGCTTAAGCCCTTCCTGATGGTTGCGATGACTGAGATATCGAACAGCGCCAGGGCATGCTATGTACTGATGCAGAGAAAGCCATCCATGGCTAGTCCGGCTCTGTTTTTCTTTTCAACCACAGCCACCTCATCCATAAGGCCCATCCTAGCATGGCAAGGTTGTGGATACTGAGCCAGTCAGCAAACCCGAACCCAAGCAACCAAGCAGGGCCCTCCCTTTGCATCCTTCCTCCCCTACCAAAGGGAATTCTGGCAGATTTTGTCGATTGCCTTGAGAGCCCATGGTTGGGGGGTCCATCACTATTAGCTGGTAGATGGGGATCGATGTTAGCATGACCTTGACCAGAACCACCCGGCAGCTCTTGTCATCAGGGAGCCCTTCCATCCTGGTAGCTGGTCTGCTATCTTGTCGATGAGAGGTTGAAGATATGCTTTGTTCATCTTGTGAATGGACAAAAATGGCAAGCCAAGGTAGGCACATTGGAATTCCTTGACCTCGCAATGAAGAACACGGTGGATAGGAGAGACCAAGTGTCGGTGCGAAAAGTGACAAACTAGTAAATATTTATCGTTTTGCCGTACGTTGTGATCGGATGTGGCCTAGCACTCAATGACACAGGGTTTATACTGGTTCAGGCAACGTGTCATACGTCCAGTTTGAGTCGGTCGGTGACTTTATTCCTGAGCCCAGGTGCTCGAAGTTTGCTGTGGGGTTACAAACGAGAGGGAGTAAGATGGGGGGTATCAGAGGTCCGGTCGGACTCCGGACCGAAGGGCCAAGAGTGACGGGAGCTCCGACGTGTTCTTAAGTGTTCGAGCGTATGCTCTGTGTAGCTTTAGAATGTCTAAAGCTAGCAGAGAGTGAGTCGGAACGATCCGTGTGGTGTCTGTTGGAATCGTCCAATCGTCCTCCTTTTGGAGAGAGCGCATCCCCTTTTATAGATGAAGGGGACGGCTTTACAAGAGAGTATGAGAGAAGGAGTGTGTGCACGCTACCTAATCTTGTTGCCCACGCCGTCGGGTACAAGGTGGTTTGTCGGCGCCCACAATATTGTTGATGGTTGGATGCATGTGGTTGGTTCCACCACGTTCTTCTAGTATGGCAAATGTCGGCGCCCATAACACTGTTCGCGTTCTGGCACGTCTAGAAGGTTGCAGAGCACCATTCTGACATGACCTGACAGTACTGTCCTGCAGGTGTGCAGGGTACGGTCCTCGGTATTGCGGTTGACTTGAGAGCCCTACCTTACTTGCTCCGCCTGATTCTTTGGGTTCTTACCGAGCGGGCGTCCCCGTTCGGTCGTTTTCCCAGTCGGCTCCGACCGCGCTGGTCGGAGAAGAGCTGTAAGCAAAGGTTCGGTGTACTCCCGGTCGGAGAGGCAGGTCGGAGTCGGAGGCGAGCGTCGTTCCTCCTTGGCCAGGCCTTCCGGTCGAAGAGGCGGGCCGGAGTCGGAAGCGAGCGCCGTTCCTCCTTGGCCAGACCTTCGACCGGAGAGGCGGGCCGGAGTCGGAAGCGAGCGTCGTGCTCTCCTTGGCAAGGCCTTCCGGTAGGAGAGGCGGGCCGGAGTCGGAAGCGAGCGTCGTTCCTCCTTGGCCAAGCCTTCCGATCGGAGACTGGGTCGTCCTTCTGGCCTGTCGTTAGGTATTTGGGCCGGCCCAGGAGTTGCGCGTCGTTTGCAACGTCGTCTGCTGGGCCGAGCTTTTGCTGGGAAGCAGGTCCATGAGGGACCCCGGGTTTATGAACCCGACAGGAGCCCCCGAGCCCCCGGGCGATTCGGGTAGCATTGTCTGGGGGGTTTTTGTTTTGGCAGCGGGTGATCGCACCCGCGGGTGTAGCCCCCGAGCCCCGGGCGATTCGGATAGAATCATCTGGGGGTTTTTTCGTTTTGACAGCGGGGGAATTTTTCGTATTGACAGCGGGTGCGCGCGAGCGCACCCGCGGGTGTAGCCCCCGAGCCTGTGTCCGACTGGTGAGTCGGTTGGAGGCTAAGCATCTTGGCGCTCTTTCCTAGGGCCGCAGACTGCCGTTCGAGGTGTTTCGCCCATGTTTGTCCCGTCTGCGACCTGCGCGATCGGTTGTTTTCCCGAGTCAGTGTCGGGCGACCTGAGCCCCCGAGCCCCGTTGGGCTTTGGCAGAGGTGGGTCTAGTTCCGTGCGTTACCCCGTCCGTGGTTTCCGCAACCGGAGGGGCTGAGCTAACGTCGCTTGCCTCGATGGCTCGAGTGACGCGCTCGGTGAGCTCGCTAACGGGCACGTTCGAGTGGAATTCGGGTCCATCGTTCGTGACGGGGTTGGCATATCCCTCATGTGGCATTCCACTGCTCCTTAACCCGCGTCCCGGCAGATGCCTGGGTCGTTTCGGAGACCGACTCAGGTGGCCCGCTGGCCTCCCCTCGATGGAGATTCTGTGGGCATGGCTCGAGGTTAGGATCGAACGAGAAGGTTGAGATGACCCTATCTGCTTCGGAGCAGATTGGGCGAGGGTCGCTGGGGCTCATCTGCGTTTTCTCCCCTGGCTCTGTTTGACGCGAGGCGGCCTCGAGTCCTTCGCGGGCCGACCTTCGAACCCCGTTCGGTTGTTGCTCATATTGAATGAGGCAACTACCGCTTCGTGACGCAACAAGAAGCGTTGTGATGCATTAGCTGCATATGCGATGATTTGGATGTATGGGATGAATGAATGTGCGAATGCGTGTATGAGAATGGATGAATGAATGATCATGCATCAGAAAAATGAAATAAGAGGGTTTGGAAAAGTTACTTTGATGACACGAGTGACAGGTTTTTGAGGAGTTTTTATCGGATTTGTCCGAATGGGATCCACGTTCGTCGTTCGTGACAGAGTCAGCGTGGCCCACATGGGGCGTCCCTCTGCCCCTTACCTGTTCTCTCGGCGTTCGCCTGAGCCGTCCGATCGACTCAGGAAGCCCGTTGGTCTCTCCTGGGCGGAGATCCTGTTGTTGGGCTCTTCCAGGTCCTGCCTGGGAAGGCGGAGGGCCGCCTACGTGCGGTTGCGCCTTGTTTCCCGCACTCGGCGTGCGGTAGTGGTGGGCCATGCCCAGACCACGTCCCGTCTAATCAGGCGTCGTCTCGTCGGTCAGGACGCTTCCCATCGCGTTCCCATCTGCATTGAATAGGGGAAGGGAGAGGGTTTTTCGCCCCAACCCTTCGCCTTTCTCCAACTGCTGCGTCTCCTCCTTAAATAAGGGAAGGGAGAGGGTTTTCGTCCCGTTCCTTCGCCTATTCCCCAACTGCCGCCTCTCCTCCTTCCTTCTCGCCAAAAGCGTTCGTGTGCCGCGGCGGTTCCTAGGAGAAAAAGGGTAGAGCGAGGGAGAGAAGAACTCACAGATCCGTTCGTGAATCCGGAGCACAATGTCGAGCTGGAGGTCGTCCAACGTAAGCGAGTCGGTGCTGGCCGCCTTCGCCGAGAAGGGGCTGCTGCCGCTGAAGGAGGTGGTGCACTGGAGGGCTCCTGCAGGGGAGGCTTTTCCGCGACCTCAGGCCGGCGAGGTTGTCCCCTTCCTCGCCTACCATGAGCGCGGGCTAGGATATCCTGCGCACTGGTTCCTGCGCGGGCTCCTCAACGTGTGGGGCCTGGAGCTGCAGCACCTCAATCCGACTGGGGCGCTGCACGTCGCCGGCTTCGTCACCGTCTGCGAGGCCTTCCTCGGGATGGAGCCGCACGTGGATTTCTTCGGACGGATCTTTTCCGGGCGAGCCTTGTCGGAGGGGAAGCCACTCAGGATCGCGCCGATGGGGAGCTTCGCGTTGCAGAAGAAGCCGAGTTCGTCGGGCGCCTACCCTGCGTACTCCCCCTGCGACTCCAATCGGGGGTGGCATGGGGAGTGGTTCTACAACAAGAACCCGGCGGAGGCGCCATTCCCGCCGTTCACCGGTAGAAGGCCGGAGAGGCGGGAGAGCTAGTCGTGGGGCCCCTCCAGCCGGCAGAACAAGCTGAGGACCATCGAGGCGGAGCTCCAGAAGCTGATGCAGCAAGGCCTTGACAGCCTGCGGGTGTTCCACACCTTCTTCCGCCGTCGGGTCGCCCCACTGGCGGAGAGGACGCGGCCGATGTGGATGTACACCGGCCCGACGAACCCTGACCGCGCGTTGCCGGAGGAGTTAGCGAAGGACGAGGTCTGGAGTCAGCTCGACCGGGTGCTGCAGCTGAGGGCCAAAGAGACCCTCGAAGGGAAGCTCGGACCCCTCCATGCCTCGAAGCTGTCGAATCTGGTATGTTCTCCTCTCCTTATTCCGTGTCCCTTTCGATCTTGCTCTCCTGTAATTTGACTTCAAGTCGTCCGCTTCGAAGGGACTTGCCGGTTAAAAATCCCAGCCGCACCTTCCGAAGGGGCCGGAGGGCGTGGCTCGGCAAGCTGCCCTGAAGGAGGCGGCGGTCGAGAAGAAGAGAGCTGAGAAGGCTCGGAGGCACGGGAAGGAGATGGAGATCGCCCGGCGGGTGCGGGCCGGGGAAAGTCGGAGCGACGTGGAGGCGGAGCTCGAGTCGGAGGAGCCCACGGAGTTGGGTGGCGACGCGAGCTCCTCTGAGGATGGAGACCGGGACGTCGTTGCGACCTTGGCGGAGCGTCGCGAGCCTGCGGCCACATCTGCCAGCGGTGGGCGGGACGCAGAGAGGCGTGACGACGTTCCTGCGCAAAGGAAGCGCGCCGCGAGCTCGGACGCCGTCAGCGAGCGGGAGGCGAAGCGGACGCGGTCGCCGCGCCCTTCGGAGGCGTCGCCGGCCTTGGCCCCACCTGCCCCGGGCGCGGCGGGGCAGGCCAGGCGGTCGGAGGAGCGGGCTCGCACCCCCGCATCATCGGGGCCGGCGCCGGCGCGCGACCCACAACGGGGTGACGCCCCGCCAGCTGCTCCGGTCGGCGCCCCTGTGTCGGCGGTCGCGGCGACTCGTGGGCCGATCGGGAGCCGGCCGGGTCGTCTCCCCCCCGGTCGAAGTGAGGGGGTGTGGCTCGCGACCTGTGAGCGGCCCTCGTCCGGCGGGCCCGTTGCCCACGGGTCGGGGCTGCAGAGCCCTGCTGCTCACGTCCAGGTATGTATTCTTTGTTTCTTTTTGATCTCATAGTTTGAGTTTTTTGAGCGCGACTGACCTGTACCTTTTGACAGCGGCCAGATACTGACGGGGTTGAGCATCGCCCCGCCTCCCGTGCGGGTGGAGTGGAGACCCAGCCTGCACCGAGTCGCGACGAGCGGCGGGGAGAGCAGGGTGGCGGCAATGCGACCTTCCCCTCCGGGGGCTGCGCCTTCCCGGACGGTCGCAAGTACGGCGGCAGCGGCAGTGACGGTGTTGGCGGCTATCCCGGTGGCGACGACGGAGGCTGGGTCGGAGGTGACCCTCGCGGTCCCTCCCCCAACCGTCACGGCGGAAGA